GGACTGCTTGTTTTGTTTTAAGGAGTTATGCAAGCGTAGCTTTAAAGAACAAATCAAAACCACAGGTTCCTGCACTGTGTGCAATAGAAAGTTTGTTTTATTGTCTTCTCTGTGTTATAGATGAAATGTTTTTCATATGCTGAACTCCATTTTGGATTGCCTTACTGCTGCACATTCAGAACGTCATAAGAAGTAGAAAGTCAAGATGAAGAGCAGGGTGACACAAGTAAATGTGAGTGTTCTTAAACCTAAGTTGTGGGGTTTGATTATTTCTTTATTACTGGTGTGCAGTTGATGTGGTAAATAAAACTTTCTTTATGTCAAGCAAACTATCCATAATTGACAGCAGCTGTTTACAAGAAAAATATTGCTGTGAAGTCAATTACTATTGTTTCTAATGCTTATTGTCCTAACAATGGAAGTTCTGAACATTATTAGCATATAATGATGAAGTAATTGGTGAAAAGTGACTGACTGAATGATGGCTCAACAAAGAACATAAGCCTGTGGAGGAATGGAGAAAAGAGGTATTGAAAAATGAACATCGATGTAAAGATGAAAAGATAGAGGCAGGAAGTAGCAGTTAATGTGGGAACTGTATGTCTTACAGAGAAAGTTAAAGCTTTTAAAAGCTGTGTGGTACATTTCTGAATGGATAAGAATGGATTTATTTTTTTTAGGAATGCAAGAAGGAGAAAAATTGGTTTAAAATTACTCTCCTAAGATGATGATTTAGAAATATCACCTTTGTAAAGTACATTAAATTTGGGACAGGTTAGTGGAACAATAATCCTCTGATACACTGTCTCAAATCTGTGAAATTTCTCTGCCTATGTTTCTAGAGGTCAGCCCTGCATAGGCTTCTTCACTCTTTTGGTTCCAGCTCTTCTGACTGAAGTGTGTTTTAATAGGGATGCCTGAGCGGTAGTTTGATATCTTCTCATATCTTCCCAGTCTGGTGGTTGTGGTAGTGTTCTCTCATCTGTCGAAATAAGCCAGTTAGTGAAAGCACACTGTTTGGACACTTTCTGTTAATAATTTTAATCAAAACGGACAAGGAAGATGACTAACTTGGCAGAAAGCCCAGTCACAAAGAGTGGAGAGCAACAAGTTCTTTAGCAAACATAGCTTTTTTTGCAAGGAGACATGAGAACTGCCAAATAGAGAGACATCTGTAACATTGTTTTATTTCTGTTAACACTTGTCTTTTTGGGTCTGCTTGGGCAAAGGCAGATGACGGAGAACTCATGAGAATGGATCATCAATGGAAAAAGACCCACCTCTTCCCATCTGCTAAATATTATTCAAATACAGTAACTGTTCTGTGTTTTTGAAAGAATTTTATTACTAGTTTCTTGGAAGCTTAGGATACAGTCTTGCATTATATTATTTTGGGAAAAAAACCCCAACAACTTAAGGATTTTTTTTTTTAAACCTTGAGTGATTTCAGTGATCTGCTATATGGTATTATTATGATCTGCTATATGCTCTCGAATTAAATTGTCAGGTGGATGTTCTGTACGGATGCATACTCCCAGTAAATGATGTTTTGTAGCATTGTCTTGGTTCAGGCAAGATAATAAGGGAATAATTTTAACACAGCATTAGAAACATACCCTAGAGAAGACTATATTCTAGGATATGTTATAATTATCTCAAAAATATAAATACATATATTTACATGTAAATACACACACCCCCCCCTAATTTGAGTGATAGTAAGTCAGCCTCATCAGCCTGTTGATAGGATGATGCTCATAATCTTTGTGTTGCTATTATTTCTTTAGGAAGCCTCAGACAACGTTGATTTTACTTGCACAGCTCATTGTAAATGCCACACTTGCTATTTAGTAAAGCTGCTTTTCTTTCTAATTAAGTTTTTGGAGATCATTGGGTATAACTGCACATCAGGGTCTGTTTGTGCAGGAGGTGTCACTGTATTCTACTAACCCAGCAGTTTTAACTGGTTCTTTGGTGGGGCAAAAACTACTGTGCCAGCATGTTAATGGATAGAATGCAACTTCAACTAATGAGATGAATATTTCTGCAAAATAGTTCAGTCAAGTTGCATTAGCACATCCTTGTGTTGAGTTTCTGCATCAAGGTGAAGTGTTACCTATTTCACAGCTGATAACATGAGATTGTGGTTCTGAAAAAATGAAATAATATTTTAAGGGAAGAGATGGCCCTTACAATGAAAGTATAGAGGTCATAAAAGCTGCTTCTTAGTTGTACCAAAGTAGTTTTGAAACATCTTGTTGAGGTTCATGTCTTTGTGTGTTGTAGATGCTGTCATACTCCTATTGTTTTATATGACTCCATAGTTTTATATGTCATGGTTCAGACCACAGGATTTGCTGTGAACTATGTGTTTACCCCTTAAACAATCCTATAAACTTATATTTCAAAAATCTAAAATGAAATTTACTTCCAGGATATGTCAAGTGGAACAGCATAACTTAGATGTTTAGAATGTAGAAGCTGGAAATTACTCATGAGAAAATAAATTGTTAGTAGAAAGGAGGGAGGTAAGGAAAAAATATGCAATAAAGTGTATCTTTAGGAGAGAGTAAGGACACTCTTCAAACAAGAAATGGTAGAATTCTGTTAATGGTACTGCATGTGATGCCACAAAGCGTAAACCGGCGTATGGGAGAAGGAAGCAGAAAAGGCGGACCGAAGGTCTGTCTATTCTAGTCTCCAGCAGCAGTTGATAGCTGAAAAGTTTAGGAATAGGGCAACCATAAAAGTACTTGCACACATACTCTCCCAGTCTCTGCCTATTTGCAGCTTCCTGAGCCAGATAATTTCTTTGGTAACCCATGTGAATTTTTTTTCAGTGTTTATCCAGTCTCTTGAACCCATGTAAGCATTTGGCATCTGCAGCATCCTGTAGCAGGGAGTCCAGCTGCTTCACTACTTGTTATTTAGAACCAGCTCTCCTCGTCATAACTGACTGCCATTAGCTTTATTTGATGAGTCTGAAGGAGTAGGGAACCAAAGGCATGGAACTCTTTGATCTCAAGATATATGTGCTGACAGTAATTAACGTATAATGCTGGAGCTTGATTTTTCTTTCTGTTTTCTTAAAGCATGGTTCCAGCTATGAAAGGAAGGAAAACTACAGTTCACGCCAAAGAAGTTTGTCTCCAGAGGACAGGTAGAATGATTTGATAGTTATACCCTATAATTCTGTATATATACCTTGCATAATGAGTTAGATAAATAAAAAAAAAAAAAATTCTGGTTCTGTTTCTTTTTATATATTATCATAACTGAGCAGTGAAAAATAAGTGTAGGTTTAATAAAATACATGAACGTCAATATAGGGGTAGTTGAATAGATTTGTTATTAAAACTAAATCTTAAAAAAATCCTTAGCGTGCAGTTAAATTGTCATGGGACTTGAAAATGAAAATTAGATGCCAGCTTTTTGCTTGCACTTGCATATTGGTGATACCACAATTGTCACTTTAGAGTAAGATTATTGATGCCAGTGGGAGGTGGAGAAATATCATTTGAAGTGCAGTCTACCAAGGCATGAGACGAACTGTGACCAGTTTACTACTTTTTTTTTTTACATTTTAAATAGAATGAAACCTCTTGTACTAAACACAGTATCTTTTTTTAGCTAATAGTGTCTATTCTATTAGCAAAAGTAGGTGAAACAAATGCATCTGTTCCAAGGAACACTCAATGGTGTTGAATTTACCTTTGGTATTTGATGTTATTGCCATTTAGTATTTAATTTTAGGGTCTAGGAGGAGCTTCCTTTTACAGTGCTTCTCTTGATTTTTTTTTTCTGATTATTTTTTGCTGACAACAAATTATTCTACAAGTATCTTCTATTTGAATGATGTGTATATTGAAACTCAGTTTGTAGAAGTGGAACAGTTACTATATATGTAACATTGTATTGCACATAGCAATTAATAGCCTTGCTTTTCTAAGACTGTTACTAAGATTTTTGTGTCTTGTATTGCAAATAGGGATATAGAGTGTGACAGATCTCCATCTCCCAGAAAGAGAAGGTACTCTGATGACAGCAGATATGATCAGGAATATTCAAGAAGGGAATACTATGATGACAGAACTTCAGATGGAAGGTATCAAGCCTTTTCTTAATCATTAATAAAATATTCATTTAAAACAATGAAATGTGAAAACTTTTCACGAACCCTTGAGTGTTTTAGTGGTGTGTGGTTTGTTTTGGTTTTTTTTTTTTAGAAGGTTGGAAAGGGGGAGAGAGAGACACCATGAAAAATGGGAGGAGAGAGAATCTGATCGAAGGAAGCAGAGAAGATACTCATCACCTGATCGTAGGAGTCCAGAGAGGTCGACAGTCCAGAGCTCACTTGCTCATGATGAGACCACTTCAAAGAAGAAGAAAGAAGAAGTGGATCCAATTCTTACTCGCACAGGTGGTGCATATATTCCACCTGCCAAGCTCAGGATGATGCAAGAGCAAATCACTGATAAAAATAGGTGAGTTGAAAGTAACATATTAGAATTTTGACTGAGGAGCAAAACAGTAAAGGGTTTTAGTGAATGTTGGTGAACATGGGATACCTTTTGAGGGCTGTGATCATTCTTTTGAAGGTATATTTTTATCAGAAGAAGGGTAAGAGAATTGGATTATGACTGTACTTGCTTCTGCTGCAAAGTCTAAATAGAAAAGTGGGATACAGAACATAAGGGATTTTTTTGGAATATCTTCAAAAACAGAACATACTGGGTTACATCATATCTGGAGAATTATGTTTTTGTATATCATGTTGCTCAGTGATTTCTTAGTAGTTAAATGTATAATTGTGAACTAGTCTTCAAATTTATGCAGTGAATATTTTCTTACATTTTGTACTCTTTACAACTTATATTCATGATTTCATATATATAGATAAAATCACTTGGTGCTACCTCAAATTTAAGCATTGATAATTTGTGATACCTTTGTAATAGCTTGGCATATCAGAGGATGAGTTGGGAAGCCTTGAAGAAATCGATCAATGGTCTTGTCAATAAAGTGAACGTTTCTAATATAGAAAATATCATTCATGAGCTCCTTCAGGAAAATATTGTTCGGGGAAGGTAAGTCTTAGTATTTTAAAACAATTCTTTTGCTTTTCTGCTAATATAGATACTGTTCATGTGTACATCAGAGTGCTATGTGCAGTGTATGGATGCTAGTCAGATGTAAAATTAACCGTAGGCTATATTGTCCTATGCAGAGTGGTCCCCTACTTGGGGAAGGGGCCAACGGCGAAGGGATTGTACGCTTGGAGGAATAAGAGTGCAACAGGTGGTATATTTTTCCTTTTCTTAAAGGTTTTACCTATGCGTTTTACTTGAATGACTTGCAATTTACAGGTGTGTCTGGGTTTACTCTTGTATTATGGGATTTTTTTCGGTGGGACAAATAATATTTGTAGCCAGTATTTAGCAAAACAAGTTTTACTACTCTTATATGGCTGGATTGTTTATTGTTGTAATGCTATTTGAGCTCAGTACGAATACTGTGTGATGACTTGACTGGTTTAATTTTCATGTCAATAGAGGTTAAATATGCTAGCCTAAAAGAGTATGGGTTTCTTAGACAGGCTGGCATTTTAATGAGCAAAACCAAAAAACCCCCTCTGAACAAAATACCCAGAAATAATTCTGTTACATTTTAAGCAGATAGCAACACTTTTTTTTGTCACAACTTAATCACTGTTATTTGAGGAGGTTATAGCTAAGGAATATGTTACTTTCATGTATGTCATATCTGATGGGAAGATCAGAATCCTGCAAATAGCATAAAAATAACAGAAGAGAATGAAGTAAAATCTGGAGAGTGAGCAAGTAGTTGCTAAATGTGATTTCTGTTAAAAGTAATAATGAAGTCTTGAATAGTTTGTTGTAGAGCTACTTTTTACTTGCCTGCATTTCATGTCCCCAGAACTTCATTTTCATACAAGCAGTAATATTTTAGTTTAAAAATGAGCTTATTGCACGTTCTTTAAAATACATTTGTCTGTGAAAGTTTTTGTGTGTGCTTTAGAAGCCTATACATTTCAAAATAATTTAGATGGAAGATGACACCATTTCCCTTCTTATAGTTCATTTTTACTTCCAATTTTGCACAAAGGTGCGTATAAAATTAATGACATAAAATTTTACCTAGCTGTTAAGTGCTTTTCTGAATTTTCTGTCCAGAGGGTAAATAGGATCTGAACCAGACCAATTTCAGTTTGTAAGTGAGAAGTAACTAATAGTTTCAAAATGAAACATTCAGTTTCTGTGCACTTGTATGAAATGAGTTCTATTCCATTTGTCAACTCCAAAGTAGGTAGGAATAAGATCCTTATGCAATTTGTACTTAGTACCATTTAGGAGTTTTTCGGAAAAATTTCAATAGACCACAGAGAAGATTAGTTTTATATCAGTGTGCCCTTTGAAAATTCATGTTTGGTGGGGTTTCTCCCTCCCCTCCCCCCCCCATTTGTAGTGGAGTAATACAGTGAAAGTCAATTTCAGTATACTAGAGCATTAGAAAAAGCAAAACTGAGGGTGGGAGTCTCAGATTCTTTTCAAACTTTGGTCTTGATAAAAATGTGAGAGAGACTGTTAGTACAATAAAAGAACAATTATCTCATGAGCCTTGTGTTGACATTCATTTAGGCTGTAAGTATAGTCTTTTGTAATCAGTTCTCAGTTATAAAACATAATTATTATGTTGAAAATATGCAGTTTCATTTGAGAAAAACACTGAAAAGCATTACTTTGCCCATTCTAGTTTTACTGAACATTCTGTTTTGTTACTTCTAGGTCCATCTTTATTTTTAGGAACCTTTTATGGAATTGTAATTTTTATTCCTTATAATTTTGCTTGTTTAAATTATCATTACACTAGATCACAATTTTATGTTTTCATAAATAGTTACAGAGCAGATATTTTTTTCAGTCACAAACAGGATTTTGGTTTTTTTCAACTGGGGAAAAGAAACAGCACAATCACAGATTTCAAAGCTAAGAAGAGCCTGCATTGACATTAAAGAGATATAATTGCAGGATACAAGATGAAGACTTTTTACATGCTGATCACTTGCAAATGTAGTTCTAATAAGAACAATATTTAATGAAAGATAAGGTATCAGTTTAAAAATTTCTTGGCTCAGGCACATTTGGGCAACGTATCTTGCAAAACTCCTTATGTGGCATGGTAAACAATGGTTTGAAAATGACCATCTGATATCTTCTAACCATTCCAGCTGTACAATACTATTTTATGTGATATGTACTGAATAAAAACATCAAATGTTTTATTACCAGAAAAATCTTAAACTTACGTATTTTTACAGGGGATTGCTGTCTCGATCCATTTTGCAAGCTCAGAGTGCCTCTCCAATTTTTACCCATGTTTATGCAGCTCTTGTGGCAATTATCAATTCAAAGTTTCCAAATATTGGTGAATTGATTCTCAAGAGGTTGATACTAAATTTTCGCAAAGGATATCGCAGAAATGATAAGGTATGTAAAATGTGAGGGAGCAACATACTGAAACTTGTAATTCTGCAGTGTTAACCTTGTGTCAAGTGTGTTCAAATTAAATACTTCGAAGGAGCACAACCAAGACCTGTGGGTCAGGACCTATCACTAGTACATTAAGTATAGTAGTATTAGAGTATCATGGAAGCTTGACAACATATTCTGGTTTGGTACTGTCATAGTTTTTCACAATTAGGACTGTACACTTCCAAAGAAAAACTATCAGTTCAACTATCCCAAAATAGTTAATTTAATGACTTAATTTGATTGAGATGCACACACAAAAGTATTTTTTTTTCTTCCGTATAAGATGTGTTAAAATTTCCTATTTTATTTCTTTTGCAGCAACTCTGTCTAACGTCTTCAAAGTTTGTTGCACACTTGATGAATCAGAATGTGGTATGTTACTTCATGTTTCTACTCAATCCAAACCCTATATGGCCATTTCCTTAATTTCAAGACAGCAGTAGCCTAAGTGAAGATGCTATCCCTGTTCTAAAGGCTGCTGAAAATCTGAGCCCAGGTTTCCTTTTAATGTCTGCTGTAAGTTGTTAGGACCTTTTTAGAAAAGAGGTTGGTAATTGCCTATGCAGTTATCATTGCTTACCATTGGATTTATACTCCAGAGCTTCCTCAGACTTCGTAAATATGTTTGGGCTAGTATTCAGACAAACCTTGATGCAAAGCAAGCTTCATGTGAGGCTCTGTCCTACATATCTTAAACAGCACTTCCTTGCAGTACTGTCATCTGACTTAAACATCTTTGTAGGCAGAACTAGACTCAGTTGCATCTAAATCAAATTTGTATCCAGCTCTATGTCACATTTTTATGTATTAGAAGTCAGGATACTCCGATTTAAATAATGGCAAGAAGCAGTGTTTTGGGAATGCGTTGGGAATATACAGCATTTTGGTAAAGAGAAAACTAATTCAGATGTGCCATTTGCTTATATGCCTGATCCTGGAAGACCCGATTTAATTATAGACACAATGTACTTAGAACTAGTTTCTGTAATGTAAGTGCTGTTTTATTTGCTTCTTGGAAGTGCGTTCTTTTTTTTTTCTTATTGGCAAATTGTTTTTCATTGCTTGCTTGTTCATTTCAATAGCATAGTCACATTCACTACAAAGTTGGTGTAAAATTTTACGGGTGGTAAAATTGTATTTGAAATTTTTACTTCTTCTTGATTAGCTTTGTCCCAGTACTGTTGCCTTGTGTGTGTGATGAAGTGTGTTGTGGCACCCTCAAAGGCTGGACTGCTTCATCAAGTAAATCGGTAATAATAGTATAACATTGTACATTCAAATTCTTTACTGATATTCTTTCCATAGGCTCATGAGGTTTTATGTTTGGAAATGCTCACTTTGCTGCTCGAAAGGCCAACGGATGACAGTATAGAAGTAGCAATTGGGTTTATTAAAGAGAGTGGGCTCAAATTAACAGAAGTTTCTCCTAGAGGTATTAATGGTAAGTATAATTAACCAGAACATTTGTCTTTTTGGTGTTTGTGTTAGTAAATCCTTTTCATGTTGTTGTGGTTTAACCCTGGCTGGTAACTAAGCACCATGCAACTGCTTGCTCACTTCACCCCCAGTGGGATGGGAATGAGAATGGAGAAAGGAGGAAAAAGAAGAAGAAAAAACCCCCCAAAACCCCAAACAAAAAAACTAACAGGGGGACAGGGATGACACCCCAAAGAAAACTCATGGGTTTAGATAAAGACAGTTTAATAGGATGACAAAGGAAGAGAATAACATTAATAATACTAATATAAAAAAATAAGCAAATACACAAATGCAATTGCTCACCACCTGTGGAGGAAAAAAAAGCTGATGCCCAATCTGTTTCTGAGCAGCGATCATGCATCCCGCTAGCTTCCCCAGTTATATACAGAGCATGATGTTATATGGTATGGAGCATCCTTTTGGTGATTTGGGGTCAGCTGTCCCGGCTGTGTCCCCTCCCAACTCCTTGTGCACCTCCAGCCTACTTGCTGGTGGGGTGGTGTGAGAAGCAGAAAAGGCCTTGGCTCTGTGTAAGCACTGCTTAGCAATAATGAAAACATCACTGTATTATCAACACTGCTTTCAGCACAAATCTAAAACACAGCCCTGTACTAGTTATTATGAAGAAAATTAACTATCCCAGCCGAAACCAGTACACATTTACATTTCTGGTTTTTTCCAAAGCAATCTTTGACCGTCTTCGACACATTCTGCATGAATCTAAAATTGATGTGCGTGTGCAGTATATGATAGAAGTCATGTTTGCTGTACGGAAGGATGGCTTCAAGGATCATCCAATCATTCCAGAGGGATTAGATCTAGTGGAAGAGGAGGATCAGTTTACTCATATGTTGCCATTAGAAGATGACTACAACCCAGAAGATGTTCTTAGTAAGTTAGAAACGGAAGATAATTCTATGACTGCATTCCCCACGAAAACAAATTTAAGATTAAATATTCGTTGTTTTCTTCATTTTGTATTTTAAATAAAGATTTTCTTTTATTCTAAAGATGTTTTCAAGATGGATCCGAACTTTATGGAAAATGAAGAGAAATACAAAATGCTGAAGAAAGGTAGGGGAGCGTGTGTGTATATGCAGTTTTATATATAATACTTTGATATTTACACATTTATAGACCATCTACTTATCCAACTATTGTTACCAAACTTTATTATTTAACCATGGCTGGTATTTGTGTCCCACATAACAACTGTTTTTCAGTTCATCGTAGACCTTTCCAATGTATTCCTACTATTTTCTTCAGTATTACTTCTCCAGCTACCTTTTCATTCGGTTATGATATACCAGTTTTTATGGCTCTTCCATGTTCTCCATGTGAGACACCCTTTCACTCTTAGGTGTTGGATCAAATTTTTTTGGTTTTGAAACTACTGTGGTCTGTATTCCTTTAATCTGGGATACTGCTCTTTCAGAAATTCTTGATGAAGGTGACAGTGAATCTGAAGCAGATCAAGAGGCTGGAAGTAGTGAGGAAGACGAAGAAGATGATGAAGAGGAGGATGAAGATGGTAAGTATATGACTGGCACCTTTCTAGTGATTGGCTGTAGATGAAACAGGAAAGAAAAGCGTAACTTATTACATGTTTTGTTCAACTAAGAATGTTCAAATGTTAAGGGATGTTTTCATCTTAAACTATTCTGAGATCTAAGTGTTTACTAGCAAGTAATATAAAAGTAATAGCCTAAAAGGAAGCATTCAGCACAGGCTGAAAACAGAAAACAACTTTGCTTGATTGTTCTTTACCATATTGATTTCATGCAAGAAAGCCTTGCCAAACATACGACATTAAAAATAATAAATGTGAAAACACTTCCTTAACAACTATCAGACACAACCTTTCTGGACACTTTCTAGTGCTCTATTGTATTTGTAAGTCACTTTCAAAATCAGAATGGGTTTTCTTACAACTCTGTTTACATCCTTTGTACCTCACTTCTTAGTTCAGTTCACCCCCTTTCTTGATCTTTAGTTGAAGCAGTCAGTGTTTACACATTTTCAAAGAATGTATTTGATTACCAGGAAAAAAACTGATGGAGAAGCATAACTGAAATGTTTGTGCAGGCTGTATGAGTGATCGAAAAGCCAGCCAAGTCCTGTTCTTGTAGAATACCAGGAATGGATTTCCTCACCAGTTTGCTGGAGTATTTCACAGAAGAGCAGAGCTTCCAGGTTGATGAAAAGTATGAGAATTCACATAACTTTTCATCACTTATGCTATTAACAACCTTTAAAAGAATGAAGGAATAGTGAATACCTTATGAATGAAGGTGCTCCTAGAAAGGTTGTGGTTCGGAATGGATTCTTTTACACTTGTTCCAGGACAAAACAGAACTTTGCAGAATGCGGAAAAGTAGATCCTACACATGACAGAAACAAAGAATTTCCTGTTAAAATCAGGAAAGCTACATAAAGCATTGTATAGTTAAATTATGTGAAAATGCCTTGCTAATAATGTAGACAAAAAATGTTAAACCCAGAGTTTGCAGTGGTTAAGTTATGTGAAAGGCCTTTAAAAGGGGAGTTAAATATTTAGAGGTACAGTTTTAAGAATTAAAACTGCACCTCTAAATATTTACCTGCTAGTTATGGATGAGGCAAATGTAGCTTTTTTCCCCCTTCTCTAAAAATAACAAAAAATAAACAAACCTGCTAAACAGTCCTAAATATTTCTAGAAAAAGTATTATACAGTGTGCTACAGACTTAGTAAATAGAACTGTTCTAAGAGATTACGTATATCTGCCTTAATGTTTTGCTCTTTACAAAACCATGTTTTTGTTTCCCAGGTCAGAAAGTTACTGTCCATGACAAAACAGAAATTAACTTGGTCTCCTTCCGTCGTACAATTTATCTTGCTATTCAGTCAAGGTAAATAGAATATAGTTTGTCCACCTATGAGTATAGTTCTTTTGAAATGGATGAACTGGAATTTCTTTTTAAATTCTTTTTTTAGTGTGCAATGAAAAAAAAAAAAGGCAGGTAAATGTTCTTTATGGAGCCTGACCTAATTGTATAAAGCAGACTGTTTTGACAAATAGGTACCCAAATTATCATTCTAAGATAAATCCTGTTTGTTTCAAATTGTTTGCGTAGTGCACTGGGACTTTTCTATGAGGATTGCTGTAATCCAAACTTTTCTGAGTGAACAAAAGTCAATGATCTTCAGATTATACAGCATCTTAAGAATTTCTGAAAAAAAGTGTGACTCTCTGAAAGTACAGGTGCTGTAGACTTCCTCCACTTCTAAGAGTAAGGAATTCTGCAGCATAGTACTCCTTAGGCCTGTTACCATCTGCATTGTTTGGAAAATAAGTATACAGATACCAACCCTGAAGCGTACTGTATTTGTGTTCATCTTGGGAATGAAATCCCCTTGCAGTACATGGCACAAATAATCAAAACACGGTGGTATAGCTCCTGTGTTGCCTGCGTGAAAGGAGAGATTAATCTGTTGTGTGCCACTCAATTCTGTTGTTGAAAGTAGGCATGGCCCACAATATTCTGCAGGTCTGAACCTGCATGAGTGGTGAGATAATGTAGTTGTGGTATTGATCATTAGACAAATGAATTAATACTATACTGAGATGTACAAAAGGCACTTATATTTCTCAAAGTTACCATTGAATACTTTCTTGCCATACTTCGTTCGTCTTATACTTAGGTGGGGCGAGGTACTGGTAGCTAAAGGCTTTCAACGTGCAAGAACAGGAGTGGAAAGAGGAGTGTGGTATATACTGGCTGATGTACAGTGCTTGCATTTCATTGTTTTTCAGGATATGCAAAATGAGCTCACGTTTGTGTTTTGCTAAGATTTGTAAGATGATGTAATAGTAATAATGACCGGAGTCACCTTGTTTTCAGGTTGTCTGCAAATGTAGTGACTTTGGATTAATTTTCACATATAAACTCATGAAATACAAAATGTTTATTTAAAAAACCCCACAACAACCAAAAACCCAACAAAACAAACTGCTTTTTGAGTATTAATGAGACTTTATTTCAAAACAGTTGAAGTTTCAACACCAACAGTCAATTCTGAAATGTTTTTAGCATCGTGTATATTGCACAGATAATAAGTACTTTTTCTATTATTGCAGCTTAGACTTTGAAGAATGTGCTCACAAATTGCTGAAGATGGACTTTCCTGAAAGTCAGACTGTAAGCCTTCTTATTCTTTTCTGTTATGAACATTATTAAGAAATAGTACTGTGGTAGTATCTAGAATCCTTACTTTTGTCCTGGGACCTAGTTTGTATAGCAAGCAGGTGAATGAGAGTGATTCCTTACAGATGTTGTTCCTTAAAATGAGTCTTACAACCTCTAGAGCAAATAGGCTGACATATATTTCATAAGACATTTGTCTTATGCAATTGGATCCTCTGTCAAGCAGTTCAAATCGTAGAGTCATTTAGGTTGGAAAAGACCCTTAAGGTCTTAAAGTCCAACAATTAACCTAGCACTGCCAAGTCCACCGCTAAACCATGTCCCTAAGAAGCATCACACCTACATGTTGTTTAAATACCTCCAGGGATGGTGACTCAACCACTTCCCTGGGCAGCCTATCCCAGTGCTTGACAACCGTTTTGGTGAAGAATTTTTTCCTGCTATCCCGTCTAAACCTCCCCTGGCACAACTTGAGGCCATTTCCTCATGCCCTGTCGCTTGTTACTTGGGAGAAGATACCAACACCCACCTGGCTTCCGGCAGTCATAGAGTGTGATAAGGTCTCCCCTCAGTCTCCTTTTCTCCAGACTAAACCCCAGTTCCCTCAGCCCCTCCTTGTAAGACTTCTGCTCTAGACCCTTCACCAGCTTCATTGCCCTTCTTTGAACACAGCCCCTCAACGTCCTTCTTGTAGTGAGGGGCCCAAAACTGAACACAGTACTCAAGGTGCAGCCTCACCATTACTGAGTACAGGGCAATGATGACTTCCCTAGTCCTGCTGGCCACCCTGTTTCTGATAAACACCAGGATTCTGTTGACCTTCTTGGCCACCTGGGCACACTGCTGGCTCGTATTCAGCCGGCTATTGACAAATACCCCCAGGTCCTTTTCTGCCAGGCAGCTTTCCAGCCACTCTTCCCCAAGCCTGTAGCATTGCATGGGGTTGTTGTGACCCAAGTGATTGCTTTGTTGTAATCTTTGGAGATCATAAGACAAATATCTGTTTTGTCCTCAGACACTATGTGTAAGATCAATACAAATAGTATGTTTTCAAGGAAAGGAAACTGTCCTTCAGCTGGTACTTATACTAGATCCTGGTAGAATGTCAATACTCATCTAATTATATAAACAGTTTTTCAGTCAGATGTAAGCTGTCATCATGGGAGTTGCACTTGAGGGCTGTTAATTTTCTTGTGGTTTTTATTATCACTATTCTGTTTTATTTGAAACTGTGTAGAAGCAACTTTATTAGTGTAATAGTAACTAGTAAGTGGAGATCTAGGCTACAGTGTGGTGTTCTTTGAAAACTTGGTTTAATCTAGTAATCAGAAATTGGTTTTCCTATTCTTTTTTCAGTTCTCGTACTATTTTGTTACTAAGCAGTTTACGTGGAAGTAAACTAAGAATTCAGATGATGGTGTATTTTCTTACCTAATTCTTTAATTCTGTGAATGAAATGCAATACTAAGCATGCATAGGATTATAATTCTCAGTGAAGCATAACCCGAAGAATTCTAAAGAGAAAAAAATCCTGTCTTCCAGCAAATCAGTTCAGCTCTAAAGAATAGAGAGAACAATCTAGAATATATGTACCAGATCATACAATGGAGACATAACTTGTATAACACTGCTTGTTAGGTAACTGCTCAGAGAACCACTTAACTGTTGGTATTTAATACCATTGTGTTGTCTGTCAACTACTAACTATTCTGTGGGCAAGATCTGCTCAGAAAAGATAGATTTAATGGGGGAAGAAAAAAACAAACCCCAAAAAACAACCAATTAGTCAGAATCTTAGGTGTATAAAAAAAAGTAGATTTTCATTCAGCGCTTTATTTGATATTTTTGCGATTTGATGACTTATTTGCTGCCAGGTTATTTTATTTTTATTTGCAGTAAGTGAAGGATTCACAGAAAGCAAAAGAATCAGACATACACAGATGAATTTAAGGTGTTACTTTTCATATACTTTGAGGTGCTAATTTACTAAATATGATTTTTTTTGTATTACATAATCCTGTGAAAGGCTGTATTTCTGTCTCATCTTTGAGCACTTTATATTTCCCCTCTCAATCACAAATTAAAAATACATGAATGTTACTCTGTGCAAAAAATAAATGTGCAAACATGTTTGGGATTTTTTTCTGCTGCACTGCAAACAAAACCTGTTATTCCTAATTTTGTAGGAGAGCTCTCGGATCAACTCCCAGATCTAGTTTTGAGACTTAAGAAAGTAAATTGAATATATATGGAACTGTTGGGAATTGATTAAATACAATGCAAACTAATTTAGAGTACAGTAGCTTTGTGACCAGCAGCACTATAATCTCTGAAATGTTGCCACTGACTTTCATGTCTCTTTAGAGAACAAATGATTGGAGTAGACAAAATACAATATCCCGCTAGCTGTCTAGTCAAGTCTCTAGGCAGTATTGCTTTGTTCCCTTAACATCTCATTCCAACAGATTCTTTGCTATCACTTTGTGATTTGGAAAATGTGTAAAATTCACTAAACATCACAGTTTTTAATATTAAAATATATAGCATTCTTTGAAAACTACTACATTTAGATTAATAAGAATTTATGTATTTGAATATTAGAGTTTGTAGCACTTACATAATTTATTTTGGAATCTGAGGTGATGTAGTGATGATTCAGCTGTAATTCCTATGAATGAGATGATTTTAAAATGCAAAACTGTTATTTTTGGCATTTTGTGTGAGTGGAAGTCTGTATCTATCTAAAGAGATAAATTAGTATCGACCTATGGTTCAGTACTAGTTGTAGGAATTGCTACAATTCAAGGTTCAAAACTGCTGTAAAACTGCATCTTCTTATCACATGGAGCTTCTTCTTTGTGCCAATTTATTTTTTTCCCCCTAATAATTATCATTACTTTTCACCTCACCTTAATCAGAGATGTGAGAGCCTTGACTTGCTCATCGTATAGACTTGCAGCTCTGCAAGAGTGTTTATGGGGGCAAAAAGGAAGAAAACAAGGTTTCCTGATCAGTGTGAGAGCAGAAAGTACAGCACGACACAGACAAAATTATTCAAGGATTTATGGGGCTCGAGTCTGTGTGGATAAAAACCAGAATGCACTCAACAGGAATTTCTGGTTGAATTAACTGCCAGGTTTTAAACAAGGAAAATAATCTTTTATTCTTTCAAGCCCATATCTTCTGATTGAAGCCTTTAGCAAATTGATTCCCCCTGCCTTCATTATCAAAACAAACCACGGGATTATTTTTGAGCCATAAAAAGCACTTTTTTGGGTCTCTCTTACTGAACACTTCAGCAACCTGTATTGCAGGATGATGTGTCTTTTATAATTTCTTTGCACCTTATGACTCAAAGCTTTAACGAGCCTTGAGAAATTCCTGAAACATTTGCTGAACTCTTGGGTGACTCTTCAAAGTTTGTTTATGCTTGTAAGAAAACTGCAATTTACATTGAGTGTAGGAGAGGTGATAATGTCATGGTTGGTTGTTTCTTATGGTGAAGACCCTGTAGGTAAGAGCTCATGCTCTATGCCAACGTCTACTACGAATGGTGATTATCATGAAAAGCAGGTATTTTGTCATTGACTGTTTTCCACAGGTTTCGAGTACTGAAGTGTCGATTAAATACAATTTAAAAACCTAAAGACAGACATGAAGAACAGCTTTGAAACTATACAGTCTTAACGACTTTCTTGCAGGTTAATTGTTCCAGAAACCTTTATTTACAGACACTTTTGGCGTGATTTGGCGGAGCTGAGTTCAGGAATATATTTAGTAGTTTTTATCAGTGGTTGAATTATCAAATTACCATGTTATGTTAACTGCTGTGCGACACAAGTGTTTTGTATGCTTAATACCAGTAATGGATCTGTCGCACAGCTCTGACTGGCAGAAAGAGGATTAAGGTTCAAATGGATCATCTACGGAACAGAACAACATAATACTGCTTTTTGGCATTGCAGTTTAGTACCAGGTACTGAGGGGAATGTTGGCAGCCTTTTTTTTTATTTACTAGCCTAAAATTGTTGTGTTCTAGCTTGAGATTAACGCATTTTTCATTTTGCCATGAACTGAAATGCTGCTTTTTCGGAAGTGAATGATGCTGTTAAACATCCATCTTCCATTTCCCATCCAATTTACGTGCAGTTAATTTTTAGTCTCTAGCTGTATATTCTCCTTCCTCAAAATACTCATTTCCATCTCCTCATCCTTTTTATTTTTTCCCACACCCTTTTTTTGGGTGAAAGGTTTGCCTACTACAGTGTCCCATTTTTCTTTCTCTAGAAAACACCTTTGCTTTCAACATTTTTCCAGGTTCATAAGCTCAGGTTTTGTTTCCAGTTTTCCTTGACTCTTCATTTATTTTTGCTCCAGCATTCTGGAAATATAATACCTGCTTCTTGTATCTGGACCTTGTCTTAGTTTAATCCCCCTGATTACACTTGATCTGGTTCTCACCCTTTCTAATCTTTTTGTAGATGACTCCAGCATGTTCATTGTCTGTCTTCTGTATCAAAAGGGCCCTTCTTTAGTCATTAAAAATTAAATCTCCTAAAATGTATAATTTCTTTTGTATTTTATTAATCTTTGATAGATGTAAGCAATGTGCTTTCTTGTTTATCTTTTGTGGTTTTTTGTAACCTTTTGGGTTTCTTCTGTCTGTATCCTTTTTTGGCATGTCATGGTTACCTTAAATTAGCAGAAGTGTTAATCCTCTGTGGTTTTACATTGTCTGTTTAATATAAATGTCCCGAAGCCATTTTATAACTCTCATCACAAATCTTCTTCCTGATCCTTTTTCACGCTGTGTCTTCTATATTACAGATTTTTAGGATCCTTCTGTGCGTGATGTTTTGTAGATCCTCTCTTGTTCCACCACTGTTTCTTAAAAGAAATCTTGTAACTTTTTTCAGTTCTATTATGAGAATTTTTCCTAAATCTATTACTAAAAGCCTGTTCAAGTTAAATTTGGTTTTTTTTGTTACTCTGTT